AAACAAGAATACAGCTAGGAGGTACATACCAGAAGTGGCGGTCCGCAATAATAACAAGCAAGCAAACACACTTGAACCCGATGTCAGAAAACTACGACTGATCAGCAACTGAAGGTATCTTTTGTAAAATTTGCTTTTAGTTTTCATCAAGCAAGCCGCAACGAGTGTTGCTATACGATTATGAATCAAAAACAGCGCGGGTTATCAGAACACAAAAAGGAAAACTGAGAAAAATGACGAAGTGAAAACTAAGAGCATTAGGAATTCAAACCTGTAACGGTAGATCAGAACACAAGTTATGAAAAAGGATTTCGCATAAATTGTAGTAATTTCAATCAATTACGCACCAACAATTGACCACAACAAATGACCAGTCCATTCAGTTGGGTTGTGCTTTACAACAATGAAGAATAAACGTCTATTTATTTAGTAGTTAATTTAAGCAGAAACGTAGCATACAATGAGGCCTGGAAAATTACGTATTTTGTGAAACAACACATTGCTCAGCCATAAGAAGAGAACAATAGACAGAGCGATTGATGCCAAGCAATAGGAAAGAGGATGATGTTACGGGGCATAAGTGATGGTGTGGGAACAAAATGAAATTCGCGCAACTCCACACGTACCCGGATGCACATCTCTGGCGTGTGTTTGTAAATGACACTTGGTAGCAAACGACTTCTGACAGTGTTCACAGGTATGTAGGGGTTGTTCTGGATTGGAAGAGGACAAAAAGTAGAGTGCTTAAGAAAAAACCCACGGAGAGAAAAGTGTTTGAAGAGTAGTGAATGAGTTGAAAAGATATGTGAATACAAGCTGAAACAGAGAAAGCGGGAATGACGCAAAACAAATAAAGTGGCCCAATAGGGAAAAACATAGGCCGCGACAGCAGAAACTGCCTCGCACCATAAAAGATAATGAAGAAGATAATGTGCAGATTAATGGTGAAGACGACGAACTGATACCAATAATAAGGGCTAGTTAAAGTACTAACTGTATATCCTGTTTGCAGGATTCAAAGTGCATAAAATGGAGAAAACTTTGCTGTAAGAACAACACCTTGCAGCAGCAGATGTAGCCGGTGCAACTCTGTTGACGGAAGGTCATCGTTGGCGTACCAAATGACAGTATGACTTCGGGTCAGGTCCAATTAGTTGTGTTGTAGTTTTCCCTATGGTCCATCTCCATACGATAAATCGGCACTTAAACCGCATCCCTCCTTCTCCCTTTAGTTCCTTTCGCCACATTCCTGCTGATTATTGCGCTTAGAAATGCTATACATGGTCACATCGGTCCCATTCCCAGTGCAGGTAACAAGGGCGTACCTCGGTTCAGTCATAAAGATTTTGTACGTTCGCGCTTTCCTACTTGATGGAGAACTGAGGCCACAATGTGTAGAATGTGTTCGTCTGCTAGACAGTTGCTCTGCTGGCTGACGCTACAGTCACGGAAAGGTGAGTTAGATACCTCCAAGAGCTCATGTACGAGTCTTAGTAAACAGGATTCTGGAGAACGAGCTCGGTTTGTTTCACATGTGCTTCGGCCTTTGCTTATAATTGCCTGGGGTAAAAGTACGTCTGCCATAAAGCACACTCTCATCTGAGAAGGGACGATAGGAATTTAGTGTGTTGAGATGTTTTATGAAGAAACGAAATACGTCGCCAACAACAAAGGAAAATTTTTTACAACGATCTTTTCTACGAATATAGCTTGTCCTTCTCAGAGATTACCAAAGGTGGCCAGAGGAAATTTGGAATTTTACAGGACTACACAACATGGCTCGGGAAAGCATCCAAGTCTGGCAAGTGTGACCGCTCCATCAAACGGCATGGCTGGTCCAATTCGAGTGGCCAAGAGCGAAGATGTGTGTAGGTAGATTCTGCGAAGCCATAATAACAACACATGTAAAAGTACTCAACTGAACTTCACCGTCGGTTACACGCCTGTGCTTCTCACAATCCCGTCAAATAGTGCATTCTGTTAGAATGCACATCCGCCGTACACATTCAGGCTACCAATCCCGCATAATTAAATGACAACCGAATGGCCGGATGGGGTGAATTAGGGTTTAGCAGAGTTACAAGACAAGAACAAGTTCGGTCGCTCGCTGCGTAAT